GGAGTTCAGACGTGTGCTCTTCCGATCTGTGACCGTTAGATTTAGATATTTAATTATTCTGCTTAAAATTTCCGATTAAAACTAATTGACAACCCTGCGTTAAAACTTCGATTAAAACCGATTTTCAAAATTGGAATCAGCTTTAATCAAATTAAAATTTGGCCATTCGATTTTATTATGTANAGGAAATTTCTGAAAATCTCTAAACAATTCTCTGAAAAAACTTTGAAAATCTATGAATATCTATGAAAATCTATGAACTGTAACCATGAAAATTTTTGAAAATCACTGAAATACTCTAATAGTCTCTGAAATTTTACTGAAAAATTCTCTGAAAAACTCTGAAACGTGTCCGAAATTCTAGACTTTTTCAGGAAAATTTTCAGACTTTTTCAGGGAAATTTTCAGAGAAATTCAGAAAAAGGGATTTTTTACCAGGGATCTATTACAAAAACAGAATGGCGAAAGATATTTTTACTAAATCGTTAAATTGGTTCCCAAATCGCTTTCAAATGGTTTACAAATCACTAAAGTGTGTTTTTAATCCGTCAAGGATGTTTGGAATACATTCCTTAAGGCGATTCTAAACTGGAATCAAACTCTAAAAATGTCGCTGTTTTACCGACGTGAGTATGTATGCATGTGATATTGATGTATAGTGTGTATAGTGATGTGTTCATGTTTACCATATCGATATCGCACGCACACATCGTAACAAATTTTCAAGTATATCTTTTTTATTAGGCCTAACTTTATGAACTCAACATTGTTTGCACATGTAATTCGTAGTTCCGGCTGGTATCATTTTGTACCAACAAACTGGCAAATTTTTGTACAAATCAAATATTGGCACATGTTGACAGACGCGCTAAACGCCATGGACTAAGAAAAGGTAACGGAGATCTAAATTTCTTAATATTTTTTTCGTTCTCAGCATAACCTCTGCCAGCCGGAACTACATTGATGCCCATACTTTAATCGTGGAAAAGGATTTTTAAATCTGTTGCCTTTAGTTATGTTTATTTTGTCATAGAAAATAATTACATTCCGTCGATAAAACAGACAACTTTAGGATCGCCTTAAGGCGATGCTGGAAGATCGAAAAAATTTGCACAAGGTTGATAAAGCAGACTCTTCAGTATCAGTGGTCTCTAAATAAACTTCTTACAATATAATCTTCTGGTCTCTGCATTCAAATACGTGAATTCGCTTTATCTAACTTATTGAAGTGCCATCTCTTGGAAAAACCGACACTTACTGCTAGATGCTTTGTTTATCATTCGCTATCTTAGCTAAACCTCCGAATTATCATAAATTGCAGTTCAGTGGATTTCTTTTTTTCTACGCTTTCAATCGTAGCTCAAAAGGCTTTGTATTATTCGTTCATGTAATCTGTAGTGTTAGACGTAAGCATTTTGTACATATGAGCTACAAAACTTTTACACTAATAAAATGTTTACGTCAAGTGTCAGCTGTACAATTCAAAAAATGTAATTTTTTAATTTGTTCCGATTTTACTACAAATTCGACCGTATAACATCACAATTTCATGTCTATTTCAACCCTGTGAAAGGTTTTCAATTCCGTTCAACCAATTCGGATAAATCTACTGAACTGCAATGTGTCGGTAATTCCGACCTCTCAGCATCGCCTTAAACGCGGAAAAAACGACAAGTGGTTACGTGCGTTGCGTTGTCGACTCGTGATCTTTGGTTCCGCGTTCGATTCCGCTCTCGCCCTACATAAGTGGTTTCACTTATATAGGGCGAGAGCGGAATCGAACGCGGAACCAAAGATCACGA